GTGGAATTGGATCCGAACGGGCAGGTGGGGGTGGAACGCGCCCCCATCAAAATTCCTAGAGACTGAGCTGACTGCCTTCGCGAGGCCGCCCGACAGAACGAAGAAGTCATAGCACTTGGGACCGCCTGAGCCGCAACGCGTGGGCCCGTCCGCCGCCACCAACTGGCCCCTGAGATTGCGAACGAACTCGCTCTCGTGAAGCGTGGGCGGCTCGATATTGAAGTCGCCGCCCATCAGGAAGGGCATCCCAGAGGTCGAAAAATGAGCTCCAAGGGCCCCAAGGATGTCGAGGTTCGCTTCACTAAGCCCTTCAGAGTCCCGAAGGTAAAGAGAGGAGAGGAGGATGGCCTGGCCCTCTGGGGGGTGGACAACTCCAACCACGGCCCTGTGGGGCCAAAGCTCAGCAGGGCCCAAACAATGCAAACCCAGCCAGCTACGCGCCAGGATGGCAACACCACAGGAGGGGCTTCCCCCCTCTCCAAGGGTTCCTGGGACCCAGAGGGATTTCCAGCCGTGTCTGAGACAAAAAGCTGAAGCCACTTCGATGGCATCCCCAGCCTGGAGCTTGTGCTCCTGAACGAGGAGAACGTGGGCCGAACACCTGGGAAGCCAGTCTCTCACCGACGACCAAGCGTTGCCGTTGACTGTTTCCACGGCCAGGGAAAATTCTTCCGAGGGGGGGGGGGGCATCGGGGACTGCCGTGCAGCATCACGCCGTGCAGCCAGGGGAGCACGATGCGTCCCCTGAATTAACGTCGCGTCACCGCTCGCATGAACTGGCAAAATTACACGAGCAAGATTCTTCACGGAAGGATTGTAGCACCCGTGCTGCGGAGCCGCCGGGACCGACGGCACCGAGCCACAACGCGGAATACGCAGACTGGGGCCGTCCAGAGAGGAGCCAGGCATGCAGTAGCGCTGGATCCTGTCTAGAATGGCCGAAAAAATCTCCGATTCAATGCCCCCCGCTTCACATCGAGACGTCAAGCGGGGGGCCGCCTTTGCCCGACGCCCTGTTAGCTGCCAGAGCGCGCGCAGCCTCACGCATCTTGGCCAGGTCAGGCGGTGGAGGAGCAGCCGATGATCCGCTGGCAGCCTGACCAGTGCCTGCGGTAGATCCCGACGACGGAGCCGAGGGAGCCGAAGGCGAAGCTGGCTGAGCTGCCGGTTCCGCTTGGGCTGCCTGTCCAGGAGCGGGTGCGCCGTCAGCAGGATGCCCTTGCCCCTCAGCTTCAGCAGCATGAGCTCCGTCCTCACCTCGACGACGCTTGGCCTTGAGGCGTTGGGTCTGCTCGACGTGTGCCGCCTTGGCTGCCTGCACCGACTCCATCGCCTTGGCGAAGAGGTCCTTGGCCATGGTGTTGAAACCGCTGACCAGCTGCTCCTTCCTCCTGTTGACCTCCGCGATGTCCGCCTCCTCGAGTGTGCCGACCTCGGGGTCGATGTCCAGAAGGTCGCCGACATCCAGCTCGAAAGCGTCGATCTTGCCTGCCAGGAGCTCGGGGAGGGACACAACAGGTTTGTTGGCGTCGGGGTGCTGCTTGCGCAGCAAGTGAACCTTCTCCGAGAGCTCGTCGTGCTTGGCGTCCAGGCCGTCCATCTCCTTGTTGATCTGGACGATGAGGGATTCCTGAGCGGTAACTTTGAGGCGAAGCGCCTCGAGATTGCCAAACTCCCAAGACAACTTCTTCCCCAATTTGAGCCGTTCACGCTGGCAACGTGCGAGCTGTTCTTCATGAGACTCCTCAGCCTTGGGCGGCTTCTTGAGTGCAGCCAGCTGTACTTGGTAGCGGTTGGCCTCCGTCGTATTGCCCACTTTGCGGAAAAGCTCGACGAAAGTCTCCAACTCCTGGACCGATAGCTGGGTGACGTTGGGAGGTGGGCCAGACTGAGCCGTACCTCCTTGAGGACCTGGGACCAGGGCGGGGGAAAAGAAGTAGCCAGGTGGTGACCACGCAGCGCCTCCGAACCCCTTGCCCTTGCCCTTGGACGACTTACCTCCGCCCTTGTACACGCCCTTGCCGTTGCCGCCACTCTGGAAGCTCTGATACTGCAGCCCTGGCGAGCGAGCGGGTAGCAGACCTCCGACAGCAGCGTTCCGAGCCCAAACACCAGCAGGAGGAGCGGGATCAGCAACTTTCGGGGCGTTCCAGGCCGTGCCGCAGTGCTTGCAGACGTGGCTCGCCATCTTGTTCTTGGCGCAGCCGCATGAGCTGCACTTCCATGTACTGCTTCGCTGGAAAGGAGGGCCTTGGCGCCATGGGGAGTCTGCGAAAGCATCTCCCGCGGGCCCAGGGCTCATCCGCGGCCGAGCGATGGAGGGGATGCGGCCCCTCGGCCTGTGTGGAAAGCTGGGGATCGATTGCCGTGAAGCCAAAGGCCCGCAACAGCAATGCCGTTCTGAAATACGCGGTTGCAAGTCCAGGCACAACACCTGGGCCAGAACGGCTCGAGGACGAGGAGGAGGAGGACGAGGAGGAGGAGGAGGAGGACGAGGAGGACGAGGAGGAGGAGGGAGGCCAAGGGGCCCGAGGGAGGCCTGCGCCCCGCGCGCGGGCCGAGCTTCCCTGGCGACCGCACGCCCTTCGGGGGGCGACCACGGGGGGGGGGGGCGTCCAGGAGGCAGGATCGGTCAGCATCAAACTGGGAGGGCGGATCGGATCGAAACCTTCGTCGGATCGGGCCGCATCGGCACGGAGCTGGGATCAAACCCGATCGGCTGCGCCAAGACGCACAACGGCGCCATGCAAGCACCGGGCCGCACGGGATCGTCGAAATACCGGAGCCGATGCGGATCGGGTCAGCCAAAACCTATATCGAATCGGATCGATCGGGCCAACGTGGACCTGGCAGGGGGGCTGGCAAATCATGGCAGCCGGCACGGGCGCAGCCCAGAGGGGGGGGGGGGGGCAGAGGAGGCGCGCTGGAAGAAGACGCGAGGGGGGGGCAGTGGCCGAGCCCGTGCCCGAGAACGTGCCCGAGTGTCACCGGCACGAGGGCCTCAAGGAGGCACAGACAGACTGACACCGTCAAGTGCCTCCTCCTGCACTAGGTCATCCCTGAGCCTCCCTCGTCCTCCTCCCCCTCGTCCTCCAGCTCGATGAAATCGAGAGAGGAGGAGCAGGTCTTCAGCCGGTGAAGCCTCGAGGGAGGAGGAGGAGGAGGAGGATAGGAGGGGAGAAAAGGTGATAAGGAGGAATAGAGAAAGAGGAGGAGGAGGAGGAGGAGGCTAAGGATAACTATTATTATTCTTATTATAATGATAATAATGATGATAATAATAATAATGATAATAATAATAATACTACTAATAATAATAATAATACTAATAATAATAACACTAATAATGATAGTACTAATAATTATTAGTATAAGATAATAATACATAATAATACTAAATGGTACGAGTAACACTAATAATCTTACTACTACTAATAATAATGATAATAATACTAATAGTAATAACAATGATAATGATGATGAATATCAAAAGGGGTAATGATAATAATAAACATAATAATAATAGTAATAAGGAAAAAGAACATTAAACAACAATAATACGAATCAGAATAATACTAATAGTAATAATAATAGTACTCATAATAATACTCATAATAATAATACTAATAATAATAATAACAATACTAATAGTAATAAGAAGAGACGAGGAGAGATGAGGAGGACGAGGAGAAGAGAAGAGAAGAGAAGAGAAGAGAAGAGAAGAGAAGAGAAGAGAAGAGAAGAGAAGAGGAGGAGCTGGAGGAGGAGAAGAGGAGAAGAGAGCCGAGAAGAAACGAGAAGGAGAAGAGGGACAACACAGATGAGCAACCTATAACATAGACTTAAGGAGGAGGTCGCCCGCACTGAGGGCAGGAGGGCAGGAGAAGGGAGGAGAGAAGCGGGACGAGAAGGGAGGAAGAACAGTGAAGAGGGAAGCGGGTGAAGGGGAAAGGAAGAGCAAGGAGGAGGATGAAGGAGGAGGATTATGAGGAGAATAGATGGAGGAGGCGGAGGCGGAGGAGGCGGAGGAAGGATAGTAACGACGACGACGACGACGACGACGACGACGACGACGACGCAGACGGCGACGGCGAGCGCCAACAACGGCACGGGCCGCTCCAGAAATCCTGCACGCAGCAAAACAAGTCAACGTCGAGGGAACGACCCCTGCTCCCGCCGCCCATCTGCCGGCTTCCGCCAGCGGAGCTCCCTTCCTCTCCCTCTCCCGTAACTACCTCTCCGGAGACGGCATTGGCAGCGCGAGGAGAGGACCGGCGGGGGAGAAGAGAGGGGAGGAAGCCCGCGGAACTGCCCTGGCATCGGTGGTTCAAAGCTGGGGTCCTGAGGGATGGGGTCCTACGGACGAGGAGCCTCAAACAGCGTAAATCCACCCTTACATCCCTTCCTATCCGACAGGCCTCGTCAAAACTAAACAGAAGACTTCTGAATTCGGTGATCGTGGCGTCAGCGCTACGCCAATGCTGACGGATTCCTGTTGACTCGGACGCGGTGTTGTCCAAAAACCGACCCCACCCTCTCGGCATTGACGAACGCGCTTTCTGACAAGTGCCCGAAAGCATCGTGCTCCAGGATTTCAAATTACATTCCTGGATATTTTTGACGACGCTTGTAGGACCCCATCCCTCAGGACCCCATCTTTGAACCACCGACCGCACCCCTTCCGCCACCCTCCCCAGGCCTTCCGCCGCAGAAGAGAGGCCGCCTCCCCGCCCCCACCCGCGAGGTGGGGGGGCCGTTCCTGCCCTGGCCTGCCCCCCCGCCTGGGGCCAGCTGGAGCAGGCCTGGCGACGTGCGGCGACGGCGACGGCGGCGACGGCGACGATGGACGACGATGGACGACAACGACGACGACGACGACGACGACGAGGACAACGACGACGACGATGGACGACAACGACAACGGAGACGACGACGACGACGACGACGACGACGACGACCACGACGACGACGACGACGACGACGACGACGCCCGCGGCGACCTGGGCCAGCTGGAGCAGGCAGTTCGCCAAGAGCCACCAGCGCAGGGGGCGCCCGCACTCGGCCCACCCGGACCTCTGCGCGCCGCCGCGAGCCGCCGCTGCCTGTCGCCGCTCGCTCTTGTGTCGCCGCCGTGTCCCGTCCTCTGCGGCCGAGGAGGAGGAGGAGGAGGAGGAGGAGGAGGAGGAGGAGGAGGAGGCGGAGGAGGAGGAGGATGATGAGGAGGAGGAGGGGGAGGGGGAGGGGGAGCCGTGCCTGTCTCGCTCTCCCCCTCTTGCGTGCTGGCCAGTTAGCCACTCGGTTGCCCCGAATCGCCACGCGCTGGTGCGCACCGCCTCCGCCTCGCCGCCCACGGAGAGAGTCTCGCCGTCGTCGACGGCGGACGTCCTCGGAGGCCTCCAGCGGTCTTCGGGGGCTCTCGGGCAGCTCCTCGGGGCATCTGGAAGCCTTCTGGGTTCCCACGAAGAGGTCGGGCGTCGGTTGTCGCTGCCGTCGTCGTCGTCGTCCGCGCTGCCGAAGACGCCGTCGCGGTTCGGTAACCGAGGATCGAGGCTCGAGCGAGCTTCGGGCCATTCCTGGGTTTCCACGGCGCCCTCGCCGCAACGTCTGGATACTCATCGAAATCTTTGTTACAACGCGTCCAGGGAGAGGTCGGAGTCGTCGTCGTCGTCGTCGTCGTCGTCGTCGTTGCCATAATCGTCGTCATCACCTTTGTCGTCGGTGGTCGTCCTCGTCGTCACCGTCGAGACTCGAGGATCGAACCTCGAATGCAGTTTTGGATGATTTGGGGCCTCGAGTGGCGCCCTCGTCGCCACCTCTGGATCCGCCTTGAAGCTCTGGTCATAACGCTCCCCTATGATGTCAGGGGCGTCGTCATCGTCGCCTGCGCCATCCCTGGACAGAGAGAGACCTATATATATATGTGTGTATGTGTACGCATACATACATACATTCATACATTCATACATAAAACACACATACATACATAAACACATGCATACATGCATGCATGCATGCATGCATGCATACATACATACATACATACATACGAACATACATACATACATGTATACGTACATACATATATACAGGACATATATGCATACATACATGCATGTATACATACATACACACATACATACATACATGCATGCATACACACACATGCACACATATATACATACATACATACATACATACATACATACATACATACATACATACATACATGCATGCATACATACATACATACATACATGCATGCATGCATGCATGCATACATACATACATACATACATACATACATACATGTATACACCTACATGCATGCATGCATGCATGCATGCATGCATGCATGCATACATACGTGTATACATGCATATATACATACATACATGCATACATACATACATACCTACCTACCTACCTACCTACCTACATAAATACATACACACATACACACATACACACATACACACATACACACATACACACATACATACATACATACATACATACATACATACATACATACATACATACATACACACATACATACATACATACATACATACATACATACATACATACATACATACATATTCGGATACATTCATGCACATATATATACACATACATACATACATACATACATACATACATACATACATACATACATACACACATACACACATGCATGCATGCATGCATGCATGCATGCATGCATGCATACATACATACATACATACATACATACATGTACATATACATATATGGTTATGTTTATGACACCAGAGAAAAACCCAATCAGGGCTATAGGGCTAGGGGGCTATAGGGCAACTGAGCTATAGAGCTATAGGGCTATAGGGCTGTAGAGTTGCCGGGCTACAGGGCTATTGGGCTATAGGGCTATAGGGCAACCGTGGGCACCCCCGGGCACGCCCGGGCATCCGGGCACCCCCAGGCACCCCCCGGGCACCCGGGCGTGTAGCGAAAATCTGCGACAAACCTAACCTAACCATATGAATCCGCTAGGACCCCCAGGACGGACCCCTACAGAGGCAAGCTCTGATTGGGGAATATGTAGGAGGAGGAGAAGAGAACGAGAGAGAACAAACAGCTAATGAAAATAAAGACGGAAAGAAAGAGAGAGAGAGAGAGAGAGAGAAAGAGAGCGAGCGAGCGAGCGAGAAAAAAGGTAAACAGGGAGAGAGAGAGAGAGAGAGGTCCGTGGAGAGACGGCAGGAGCGGGAGGAGCAGGACCTGGGGGGACGACGACCGTGAGAAGGAGAAAGAAAGAGAGAGAGAGAGAGGGCGATAGAGAGAGGCGAACGACAGAAAGAGAGAGAGAGAGGGCGATACATATATATTTATATATGTATATATATATATGTATATATGTATAGAGAGAGGACCAATACGTGAGGAGGAGCGTGCCGGTCACCGCCGCGACCAGGCCGCTGGAGGCGCCGCCCATGAGCATGGCGCTCTTGACGAAGTTCGCGGCGAGGACGGGGTTGAGGTGCGCCATCTCCACGATCGGGTCCTCGGACGTCGCGCTGGGCGGCACAGAGCTGTCCACGTGCTCGTCGTGGGAGATCGCGTCGGAAGCAGCCATCAGAGAGGTCGAGCGGGGCACGACCATGATGATCAGGAGGCCACTTCTGGAAGGTATTCACCGCAAGAAAGAGCAATGGTACTAAACACGATTCAAGGGGCCGTTCAGCAGGGTCTGGCCAGAGTAAACCAAAGATCGCGCCAGATTTGACCAGATTAAGCGGGGCTCAGCGGAATCAGCCGTGATATGCCCCTGAGTAGGTCGGTTTTCGACCACGCATATACAAGCGCCGATGATGAATCTAACCTCCCAGGAGTTGCATCCTAATGATGGCAAGTAGTTCTTCTGGCTGACAGCCGAGAGGGTGGGGTGATTCTGAGAGGTGTTTTGTTCACTAGGTGAGTGATGAATGGCCCGTGGGGGTGGTACGGGTGAGTTTGAGAAAAATAGCCTTGGCCTGCAGAAACACGTTCACGCATGCGTGCACACAAATGCACACACGTACTTGCGCAAGTGGGCACAAGACCCCAGACGTGCGAACGCACGGGAATGCACAAAGACCTCGCAACGTGCTGCAACACGCGACGCATGGTGGCAAGACGCACACACATACGGATCCATGCGCTAGAACCACGCGCGCCTCGCGTGCGTAAGTTCTTGCAAGCCCCAGTCCCTGACAAGCTCACAGCTGCAATCGTGTGCGCACCCAAAAATATATTGCACATGAGTTTTACAGAAGCAGGAACGCGGACCAATTTCAGACGTGTGGCCAGCAGTGTTACACACATGCAACACTCTACGCGAAGCGCAAAGCAGTGAGAGGACTGCAACGGCACAGACAGCAACGCATCGCAGCATGCGGCGCAAGCCTGTGAGCCCGCCACTGTGCCCCCCGGCACGTCGAGGCGTGGAAGAGTGCCACGTGCTCTCTGGCTCTCTGGCAGGGCTCATCGTATGCTGCTCCCCCTCCCGAGGCTCCCTGCGCGGACTGCCCCCCGCCCCCCCCAAGCCTCCCTGCGCGGACTGCCCCCCCCCCCACCCCCCAAGGCCTCCCTGCGCGCCCCGACGCCTCCCTGGCGCTGCTCTCCAGGGCCTCCAGGCTGCCCCAGGATGGCTCCCCAGACGGCCCTGACCGGGCCACCAGGACCGCCAGAGCGGACCACGGTTGCCTCAAGACGGCCTCAGGGGCCCCCAATACGGCCCAGGAGGGCTCCAAGAGATCCTCCAGGAGGGCCCGAAGAGATCGAATCATTGATTGCCATGTGGTGTTTGCCGTCTGTCGCAGTCTCGCCTTCGTTGGGCCCCCGGCAGCCCAATGTGGCTCAATGGACCTCCAAGATGCCCCGTGACAGCCCAGGTAGCCCCCATAAAAGCCCCAAGGTGGCCAAAGAGGAGGGCCCCGAGAGACGGCCGAAGCGGGCCCGAAGACGGTCTTAAGCTGCGTCCAGGAGGTCCCAAGACGGCCCGCAGAGGCCTGCAACGGCCTCCAAGGGTGCCAGGCAGCCCAAGAACGTTCTAAGACGCCAGACAGCCAGGCGCCCGATGGCCCAAGAGGGCGCCAGGAGGCCCTCAATAATGTCAACATGTTTTAATGTAACAAAGCCTCGATACGGACCCAACAAGACAAGGCCCGAGAGGGCCCCTCCCTAGTGTTCCCCCAGCGAATTCCCAGACGGCTGGGGAACCACGGAGTCCACAAGCATGGCTGCACCATGAAGCATAAAAGGAGCGCTGGCGCTTCCAATGCGCAGGAGGCGGCGGTGACTCGCCGTCGTCTCTGCTAATCCCTGCTGGCCTTGCAAAAAAAACGCACAACCTCATACCACATCACCAACACCGAACTCCGATTTCTCTCAAGCTACACACACGCGACGTGCTACTGCACATATCTGAACAACGCCAGGAACACGGACGCGTACCCACTTGAATAGGGCCGCGCGCTGCGTGACCGACAGTGGCGGAAAGAGCCTAGCTGAACATGCACTGAACGATCTTCGCGACTGCACCGCGAAATCCGAATGCGCCTTACAATCCGCCATCTTCTCAAAACTTCCGCATTCTCCTTCAAAGACAAAGTGCTCAACGCTTCTTTTTGCCCTTGTTGCCGCCGCCGCGCTTGCTGCCGCCTCCCTTCTTCAGGACCCAGCCGGCGTAGGCAACGCCACCAATTGCGAGCATGGCGGCGTATGGCACATACCAGGGGTATGGTGCCACCTTGGCCTTTGTCTTCTTGGCCTTCTGAGGCTTGACGTCCTCGTCCTCTACACCCTGCTCCTGCTGCCTCTTCCTCTCCAATGCTGCAACGCGCTTTCTCTCCAGCCTCTTGATCTCGGCCTGTTGCCGTTTCTCCTCTGCCTGCTGCTCCATCATCTGGGCGTAGCCGTCTGGGTCGGTCTTCTTGAACTCCTCCAGTGCGACCCTGTCCTCCTCCTTTTTCCTATCGGCCTCCTTCATCTTCATCCTCTCAATGGCGTCGCCACGGGCAGCCTTGCGCTTGGCCCTCCACTCTTCTTTCTCATCGATGTCCTTCTGACTCATGCCTAACTCGTCCGTGATCACTTCGGCCTCATCGTCCGCCCTCGGCACAGCCCACTTGAGCACAGACTGGCACTTCGGAGCGAGGCTCTCCTTGTCAGTCCACTTCGTCAGGCACAGAATCGTATCATCACTGTAGAAGTTCTCGTCACAGGACTTCATGATGTCGTCTGCGCAAGCTTTGTTGAGCGCCATGAAATCTGTGCACTCCGAGGAAAGAGCTATCTTGGTCTCATGCTCCTCCGAATTCGTCAAGCATTTGGCCATCTCTGTTCCAGGTGTATCTGGACAAGCGGAGGCAATCTCCGTCTCGCACGGATGTGCGCTGGCGACGCGAAGCCCTAAAACTGCGACCAACACATTTAACCTGGCCATTGCTGCGAAGACGGAGAGAGAACGAGGGGACTACGACATCGAGCCTGAGCAGAAACAACTCGAGCCAAAGTGGCTACGGACAGCTGGGACTCCTCTCGGGTTGTCTCAGGTCGCCCTCTGGGGGCCGTCTTGGAAAACGCCTCCTCCTCCTCCTCCTCCTCCTCCTCCTCCTCCTCCTCCTCCTCCCTCCTCCTCCTCCTCCTCCTCCTCCTCCTCCTCCTCCCTCCTCCTCCTCCTCCTCCTCCTCCTCCAGTGAGCCCCTGTTGAAACATGTCGGGGCACGCTCGGGCCACCTAGGGGGCCATTCTCGGGCCGAGGCAGGACCGCCCAGACGCCCGCGGCGTCCCTCGTGTTACATTCGAACCCCATCTTGCGACCTCCATGGTCCCTCCGAGAGCCTCTGCAGGTGCGCATCGTCTTTTCCAATCTCTCCTGGAGCAATCTTCGACCGAGAGGTTGGTGACCTCTCGAGAAACTCTTCGTGCATCTGACCGAGATCAACTGGGGATTCTCTCAGGGCTCTCTTGCGGCCGCATGCGCCCGTCTTGGAATTAGTTTGGAGCCTGCTGGGCCCTCCTACGCCGTATTAGCAGTCACTGGGGCGGCCAAGAGAGCTCTTGGGGCCGTCTGACGCGTCGTGCTCCCATGTCTCACACGGCTTCCCGGCCCGCTCACAGAGCCGAAGTCAGAGGCCTCCAGCACGAGGCTCCAGAAACCCGTCTGGAAGGCTACATTGTGGCCCTCCCGGGCCTCTGTAGGCGCTCATCCAGCAGTGCCTCCGAGGCCCTCTGTCGGGCGCAAGCTAACATGGACTACGGACCCGTGGATCTAGCAGTAGGTCGGGTATGTCCCCCTACAGGCGGATTTTGGGCGAAACGTCAAAAATACCAGAAAAATGCCCCCAAATAGTCCAAAAATGCCTCCGAAAATCGTCCCCAGACCATGTTTCTACTTTTTTGGGATATTCCTCCTGCAGAGGCACAGGCCCGACCTAGGTCCAGCACAGGGGCGCCAGATCCACGCATCGGGGCAGGCGACCCCCGAGGCATGAGGCCGGTGCCGCCTCACGCGGCGACGGAGAGCGCGTCGAGGTGGCATGGAAAAGCGGGGCCCGTCGGCGATCAACGCGCATGGATCCCATGGCTGCGTCCTCCTCCTCCTCCTCCTCCTCCTCCTCCTCCTCCGACTCCTCCTCCTCCTCCTCCGACTCCGGGAGCCATCCTCGACCGAGGGGCTGCAGCATGCCAGAGCTCCCCCCCAAAAAACCTGAGGAACGCCACAAGTGGTCGACCCGACGCTGGTCAGCCGGGAGCCCTCTTCGGCATCTCTTGCGGCCGTATGGGGCCGATTCTGGAGCCACTGGAGCTCTCCTCGGCCACCTTGGCAATCCCTTGGGCGGCATGCGGAGCTCTTGCTCTTGAAGTACCCTGTCGGGTTACTCGGCACGCTCAGGCGGCCCCTGGCCCGCCCGCAAAGCCCGAGGACCCGACCAGGAAGCTTCGTCACCGCCGTTGGAGACATGGTGTCCACACCCTGGCGGTCTCTCCCTCGGCATCCTGCTGATGTAAATGTTAGATACGCGCGCACAAACGGCCTCATTGGCGCTTGTCATAGGAACTGGTCCTGCAAGTTTCGCGCACAGGTAGACTGAGATACAACAGAGAGAAGAGAGAGAGAGAGAGAGAAAGAGAGAGAGGGAACCAACGAGAGAGAGAAGGAGAGAGGAAGAGAGAGAAAGAGAGAGAGAGAGAGAACAAACAAACACAAAAAAAGAAAGGGGAGAGAGATAGAGAGAGAGATAGAGACACCAAGAAATATAAGAGAGAGAGAGGGAAAGAGAGATGTAACATACCATTGACCCCGTTGTCACTCACGTCGTTCTCTCCATGTTTCTCCTTCTCCCTTTCATCCTGTTTCCTCCTCCTCTTTCTCCTCCTTCTCCTCGTTCTCGCCGTTCCGTGTAAACCATTATCCGTCCTCCTTATCAGCTTGGTTGCGGAAGCTCCTCCTTTGGTCGCCCGGAGGGTACGGTTTTGGGGCGGGGTGCCCCCCCTCCACAGGATGCCAGGATGCAGGAATCTGCGCATTCCTACTCATATGTTGGTTTACTGGGCGTGGGACCACACCCAGGCCCATCCCCCCAGAAACAATTTCTGCCTCCCTGGGCCTCCTGGACGCCCCTGCCAAGCGTCTCATCGAGTTTGTGGGCCTCCTGGACGTCACTGGCGGGCTTCATGAACATGCCCAAAGAATTGAGGGCATCCGAACGGCCTCACTGGAGCCCCAAGTGGCCTTAGAACCCCCCGAAACGCCCCCGAACGACTTAAAGCAGACGCCCGAGAGGCACCCAAGAGGGCGAACATATGGTGTTCCAGTAGGTGTTCGGAATTAGCATGATTTGGGGACATCCGTTTCTTCGGTCTCCCCGGCGTCCGAGACCACTGAAGAGGCCCCCAAGATCGCCCGAAGACATGCAAAACACAGATGGCCCAAGAGAACCCCAGGACGGCCCAACAGGGCCCCCAGAAGGCCCCAAGGCAGCCCCAAAATGACCCGACGACGACCCCCTCAAAGCAACCCCGGTCGAGGAGGGAGGGAGGGGTTGGCAGCAACATGGCTCCTCCCGAAAGGGTGCATTTTATTGGCGGCCATGACGGGCGTTATGAGGGCATAACGCGCCCCCCCCAGACTGTGGTGCCAGACGCACTGCGGCAGTGCCGGGGACGCACTGAGGAGGGGGAGCGTCACGTCATTGAGGGAGGGGGCAGACTGTAGTGACAGACGCACTGCGGCAGTGCGGGGACGCACTGAAGGGGGGGGGGTCAGCGTCACGTTATGAGGGGGGGGGGGAGGAGGGGGGGAAGGGGGGGGGAGGGCAGGGGGCACAACGCGCAAAATAAAACAAACTCCCCGAGGCTCTCCCGCCCTGCCAGAAGGGGGGGGGGGCCGCGCGGGGGGGGGGAGGGGGGCCCGTGGCCGCGCGCGGGGGCGCCCCGCGGCGGCCCGCCTGGCGTGGGCGGCGGCGCGCCGCCCGCCGCGCCCACCTCGCAGCCGACGAGGGCCCGCGCGATGGCCTCGCCGAGCGCCTCGGGCCGCGGCGCCGATCGCTGGGCCAGCGGGCGTGCAACCCAGACCCCCTCGAGGAATGAAGAACTCACGAAGGGAGGTGTTCACGATTTTCGGCCTTTGGGTGCCACTACCGGGCCTCAGGACCGTCAAAACACGACTCAGGATGAAAAACGGGTCCCGGGGAATAGACCGAATCCTCTGGGGGTCGACGTCATAAAGAAAAATCATGGCGTCGGGGGTCTGGCAAAGGGGGGTGTCGGGATGGGGGGCTCGCAGGTCACGCGAGCCCGAGGAAAAGCTGCAGCGTCGAGCGGGGCCCCGTGATGTGGAGCCTCCTGAATTACGACGGGGCGGGCTTCGACGAGGTGCGGACGCCTCTGGAGGCCCAGACCATCGATAGGCGCATCCTCGAGGTCGGGCTTGAGTGAGGTCGGGTGTGTCCCCCTACAGGCGGATTCTGGACGAAACATTAAAGATGGTTACAACAAATACCCACAAGATATTCAAGAAACCAAGAAAAGTCCCCAGACTATTTTTTTTGCCCATTTTTGCATACTCCTCTTTCAAAGGAAAGGAACATGCCCGACCTAAGGCTTGAGCGCGGGAGCGATCCCATGCTTGAGAACCAAAGTTTTGCGCGCGTGGGCAGCTTGCGCGCGGCCCAAAGGCGGGGGCGCCTATTCGTCATCAACGTAGGTTTATGGTCTCGGGGGCGCGAAAATGAAGTAATTTCCATAAAAGGTTGATGGCTTCGGGGACGCAGATATTGTGTAATTTACGCGGGTTGATGGCTTCGGGAACGCGAGTATTGCGTAAATTGCTAAGGTGTATGGCCTCGGGGACGGGCGTCCGAAGGGGGGTTCGCAGGTTCACCCCAGAATTGATGTGCTCGCCGAGTCTACAGAACATGCGTAGAGTGCCCAGCACGGCATTATACGCATTCGTTCCCGGCTTCGACGGAGCATCAACTCTGGGGCAAATCAATTCTGTAGTCGATTCCCGATCAGGAGCCGAACTCTATGCACCGACGCTTTTTTTCCGGACCCGCACTGAACTTCGCACAGGGAAGCGGATCCTGGTGGATACGGGACTCTGGTGTATACATGTTTTGTGGTTTCTCCCGGAGAGCGGGGACAACAAATATACACCACACCACCCCGACGTCGTCCCCGACCCTCAAGGAATCCTGGGATTAAACAACAGCCCGCCACTGGTAGTTCAGATGCTCCAGTTTCCGGACGGGGGCGTCCAAAAGGGGGTTCGCAGGCCATGGCCCGAGGCATGTGCGCGGCCCCGGCGGGGGGGCGGTCAGGGGACACGTTGAGAGAAAAGGAGGCGCAACGACATCTAGGGAGACAGCATGGCCCCCGCCCCCCCCTCTTGGCCGCCCACGACTGGGGGGAGCCAAAAACAACAAAAAAACACAGCAGACACAAAAAAAACATCAACAAACAACATCAGATACAACAACAAACAATCAGCCAAACACTCGGCCTCGGGGGGCCCCTCGCTGGGCCCCGAGACCGTCACACGTGCGCTCGGAAGGCAGACCGGACCGTGGAGAATGGGTCGGGACTGCCGCGGGCCCCGTAGGGAGCAGATGAAGACATCGGAGGTCTGGGGCAGTGCCAAATGACGCACCGCCGTGGGGAACGCATCAGCGCGTCACCGCTCACGGGAAAAAGATCGTCGGACGAAGCGAGGGAGCAACGCGCGGACAGGCTCTCAAACGGCGGCGTTCCATCGATGGACAGACATACAGAAGCCCTGCACCCGTGCGGATGCGTTGGCAGGGACATGAGCGGATGCCGCCAAACGCTGCAACCAGAGGGCCGGCGGCACTCGAAGCACAGAGGCAGAGCCAAACGCCACACCTGAAGACGACAGCGATGGACCTTGACACTCGCCCTCCCTCCCGAGTCTCGCCGACGCGGCGACCGACATCGAGGCGCGCTGGCGCGGTGGCGCCCCCGAGATCCTGGCGCCGCAGATTTGCCACACGGGTCGGCGGCGAGCCCGGGCGGGGAAGGTGAGAAGCAGCAGGCCTTCTCGGAAGGCGGCGGGGCTTCTCAGAAGCCCTCGCGCGTTCTGCTGGCGGCGCGCACAAGAGGGTGGAGCGAGGGGGGAGGGCCTCTTCGAAGGAGGCTGCTTCTCACGAAGGCGCCGGCCTCACATCTATAGATGAGGCCCGCGCCTTCTAAGAAGCAGGGGTGCTTCTAAAGAAGCCACCCCTCCTCCCCCCACCCTCCTTCTGCGCGTGGCGGATTCCGAGAAGTGGCCCGCGCCTTCGGGGGAGGCTCGGGGAACTCCTCGGTTTAGGGTTTTTAGGGCTTAGGGTTTAGGAGGAGGCTCGGAGAACTCCGCGGAGGCTGGAGAGACCTTCCCAGCCGTCTGAGAAGGCCCGCCCCCTGCTCCCACTTCCCCCCCCCCCCAGGCCCGCCGCCGCTCGGGGACGCTCCCCGCCCGGGTCCGTGTATACGGCCGGCCAATTGACTGGAGAGGACCACGCGAGAGGACACACAAGGACCCTTCCCCGAGGGCCACGCTGCCACAGGGATGTGCGAAGCACGCGGCGAGAGACACAGTTGATTGGAGAGGACACGCCAGCGGACACAAGACCCTTCCGAGGGCCACGCCGCCACAGGAATGTGCGAAGCACGCGGCGCGAGGCACAGGACCCAAGCACAAGGGTACCCTTGAGTGGGCAGGGTCGACCTACTAATCCGGGCCGACCCTTCCGAGGGCCACGCTGCCACAGGGATGTGCGAAGCACGCGGCGCGAGGCACGGGACCCGAGGGTACCCTTGAGTGGGCAGGGTCGCCCTCCCAGTCCGGGCCGACTGGAAGCCCGGGCTGGTCAAGCTCTGCAGATTCCTGCGGGGTCCTGCACGGTCCTGCAGGAGCCTGTTCGCCAGCCAGGATCAGTGACACCCCAGCTGGAGGACGAGCAACAACGCCGTAAGCATATAAACTGTTGGCGCTCCACGCGGATTCCTTGGATCTGCGCTGGACCCCCCTCCCTGGCGCGCGGAGCGCGCCAGGGGCGGCGCCAGAGGCGCCGCAGGGGGGCCCAGCGCAGATCCAAGAAATCTGCGCGGAGAGCCAAACATTTCTGCTTACCTATGGCATTTTTTCTTCTTCGACCGGCGTTGCAGGATCCTGCGAGATCCGACGCTCTGCCTGACCCCCTTTTGCATTGATGGGTCTGGTGCCCCCGTCGTGACGCTGCACGGTGCCGCGCCTTCTTCGGTACGTCGGATCTCGGGGGTCGTAAATGCGCCTCGGCGTCGCCGCTCCGGGGGACTCTTGGAGCGTCTCCAGGGGGAGTCCTTGTCGCCACGGCAAGAGGCGCGGCTCGGGGAACCAGGTCGGGTGGACGCCGGGAGGACCCACCCGACCTGAGCGGGTGTTCGAGGATCTGCTTTTGCTTCCAGCGCTTTCGGGAGGTCGGGACGAACAGAAACATACCAGTACGTATATGTCCTCCTTGGAGGCGCGCGTCCGACCCGAGCCTGCTGTATACCCGTCCTGCAGCGCATCGTTTCCCGAGAGGTGTGGCCAGAGAGCGCCCGCCACGGCGCATGTACGACTACATTTCTCGGGGCGCGCGTCGCCCCGGGGGGGGCCCGATGCACACGCAGTAGTTATCAGTATGCCGGGCTGACGCCGGGAGGAGAGAGAGATAACGCTGGGAGAAGACATTCCATTGCCGTTGGGGGGAGAGCGAGAATCCTGGGAGGAGTGCAGGCGCTGCGGGAGGAGAGGAGATTCGAGGATCCAAGTCAAGCGCTCGTCGCCGGGGACCTCGCCGGGACGGGCCCCCGTAAGGACGGGCCCGCGGGCGGCCGGTCCCAGACCTCCGCCGACGACCCGCGGCCTGCAGAGGTCCTGACCGAGCGCCCTGCAGGGGCAGCTTTTTTGCCCCAGAGCCACGTCTCGAGCAGGAGATCGACTGCAGAATCGATTTTAGGCGGCGAGGGAGGGGGGGGAAGTGAGAAGGGGCGGGCCTTCTCAGAAGGCTCGGAGGTCCCCAAGCCTTCCGAGAAGTTTCCCAAGCCTTCCCAGAAGAAGAAGACAGCTTGTCTGAAGGCGCGAGGGCTTCTGAGAAGTCCCGCCTTCTTCTGAAAAGGCCTTCTCCTGCTCATTTCCCCCCCTCGCTCGCCGCCGAGATCTACCCCGAACTTGATCTGCTCGTCGAATCTACGAAAGAGGACGTCGTCTACATCCATTCGGCGCCTTTCCGCTGGTAGGTTCGACGGACATGTCAATTCTTTTTTTTCCCCCGCAAACACACACCAGTTTCAGTCCCTGCTCCGAAACAGTACGGCCAAAAAAAGAGGCACGCTCGGTCGTATTGAGTCCGCTTCTTCTCATGTCAATTCTGGGATGAGTCAATTCTGGGATGAGTCAATTCTGGGATGAGTCAATTCTGTAGTCGATCCCCTACTCGAATGTCTGGTGGTCGCGGGGCCCGGTTCTGGGCCCCAGAGGCCGGAGGCAAGGAGATGCACCAGGGGTGGAACAAAACGGCATTTCGCCCTGGGCATTGACGACGACGACAACGACGACGGCGACGACGACGACGAGGACGTCGACGACGACGAGGACGTCGACGACGACGACGATGACGACGACGACGAGGACGTCGACGTCGACGACGACGACGACGACGACGACGACGACGACGACGACGACGACGACGACGGCGACGGCGGCGGCGGCGGCGGCGGCGGTGACGCTCCATGCCATCCCCGGGGCCTCACCGCGGCGGCGGCGGTGCTGGCCAAATAAGTCTCCCTGGGGGCCTCCGGTGTCGCCGCATCGATGGTGTGGCCTCTGGGGCCTCCCGGAGCCTCTCTCGGGCCTCCTGTGGAGTTTACTGTTCCGCGTTCCCGGTATAAGCAAGATCAGGCAGCATCGGATCGGGAGATCGGATGGGGTCGGATCGGGCTGCATCTGCACGGAGTCGAGATCGAATCGGATCGGCTGCGCCACCATGGACAACTGCGCCTTGCCAGCATCGGGCCACATCGGCTCGCTGGGATTTCGAGATCGGGCCAGATCCAGCCCTGCGGAGTCAAAGTCGAAGAGGATCGATCGAATCGGGGCCATGGCTGAGCGGCGGGGGGGGGGAGAGATTTTTTGTCCGTGGGTGACGGTCGTTGCCCGGGGGGGTGGCGGGAGGGTCCGGGCGGAGGGGTAAGGGTAACGGCGGCCGCGGCGTGCACCCGCCAGGGTGCGTCCGCGCCACCAGCACACCAATCGCCTGTGTGCGCCACAACATGCAGGGGGGGGGGGTCCAGGCCACCCCCCCAGTAGGATCGCTGGCGTTACCCGGAGGGGGGGATTTTTACCGCGAAAGTGAATTCCTCGTGGAGTCTACGGAACATGCTCGGAGTGCCCGCGACAGCATCCTGAGCATTCGTTCGTAGATTCGACGGAGCATCGATTCTGGGATAGATGACATATCTAGTCTTGAGCAGGGACGGACCGTCCCCGCATTCCGATAGTCCTACCACGAAATGTTCTTAGCACCCAAAAATGCTCTAAGAACAAAACGATGTTCCTAGAACATACACCCGATGTGTTAAAACAAGGCAGGCTCCGCCAGAGATGTTCTAAGAACACTTCGTGGAAATTGCAAATTACCATATGTTCTCAGAACATTGCTTGGTTGGGCTAAGGCGAGCCAGGACGCTTCGCCACTGCTTGATGGTCGCTCCCCTGCTCGAGCCACGAGCAGCCCGCGCCGACCTCCCCGAGCCGGCCCCCCCCCGTCGTGGGCAGACGCCGCGCGCCGAGGGCGCGCGTCGCAGACCCCGAAGGGGCGCGCTCGCGCCGGGGCAGGCGAGGCCGGCCCTCTGTCGGGGGGGATCCTCCGTCCTCCCTCCTCCTCCTCCTCCCTCCTCCTCCTTCCCCCCCCCTCCTCCTCCCTCCCTCCTCCTCCTCCTGCTCCTCCTCCTGTTCCTCCCTCCTCTCCTGTCTCCCTCCGCCCTCCGCCCTCCTCCTCCTCCTCCTCCTCCTCCTCCTCCTCCTCCGCCCTCCTCCTGCTCCTCCTCCTCCTCCTCTGGAGCGCCTCTTGGTCGGCGGCGAGCTGTGGGTCCAGGGCGGGGGCAGACCCAGAGATCCGATGCCTCGACTTTTCCAACGCGGCCCCGAGAGGTCGCGACCCCTTCCCCAGGGCTGGCCTGTCGTCCCGGGCCGTCCATTGAAGTCGCCCCAGGGGCCCGGCGAGAAAGCCCCCAGGGGCCGAAAGCGACGAAACACCTCCGACTTGACTTATGCCCATACATTGAAGATATGGGTCTGTACACTATACAAAAACTTAGTAGTACGTAATAGTAAGTCTGTGTCCAGCTCGGAGGCGCGCGTCCGACCCGAACCTATTAGTATACCCATCTTGCAGTATACCGCCTCCCGAGCGGCGTGGCCAGAAAGCGCCCGCAACGACGCATATGCTATTGCATTTCTCGGTGCGCGCGTCGCCCCTGGGGGGGTCGACGCACACATAGTATCCGTATGTTGGGTTAAGATCACGTTGGGAAAGCCATTACGCTGTCTTTGGGAGGAGTGCTCGAGCGCTGTGGGAGGAAAGAGAGAATTCGAGGATCCAAGTTTCGGGGCTGCCCTGGGCTGCCCTGGGCGCGACGCACACATAGCATCTGTATGTTCGGGTGGCGCCGACAACAAGCGGTCCAGTGCAGGCGGCGGAGCGCTGCGAGCTGGAAGGTGCCAGCGGGCGCCAACGGGCGAGAGAGAGGGGAGAGCAGGGCAGGCCGCGGGCCGCCGGAGGCCCCTCGGCTCGTGCGGAGATAGCTTCAGGGCCGACCTCGCAAGGCCGCGCCGCTGGGTGCCGCACGACGCTCGGGCAGGGCGACGGGGGGAGATAGCAGAGGGGGGCTTGAGGACCAACTCGCGTGGCTGATGCTCCCGGCGCCTCCCGGCGCCGGAGGCGGCCATGCATCTCGAGGCATGGGCCCCTCGATGGGGCCGTGTCAAGGAAAATGGGCCCCTCCTTTCCCTGTCCCCCCCCCCTTTCGTCTGGCCCGAGGGGCGGGGCTTCAAGAGTGCGACGCGGCGACCCGCCGGAGGGGAGCCGGCGTCGCCAGCCACGGGCGGCAAAAGAGCAGTCAGATCCGCGCCCCGTGCGGTCCGGACTCTGGGGCGCGGCCCCGTGGGCACGCGGCGGCACGGACACGCTGTCCCGCACGGGGAGCTCGCGAAGGAGCGGCCCCGCGCCCCAAAAAACGTCGCGGCCAAGGGGCCCGGGCCGCGAAGGCGTGGACACGGAGCTGGTCTGCCGCCCACGCGTCCGGGCGGAACGCTGCAGTCGCCGCGAGAGGATGAGGAGGAGGAGGGCGACGAGGTAGCAGACGTACTCTGCGCAGGACGCCCGGCGGCCGGCCCCTCGGTGGCCACTGCCGCATGCAGGGCAAGACGGAAGCGAAGTCTCACGGGCGGGGAACCCTGTGCCGCCATGCAGGCCTCCTGACCTCCGTCCCACCTCTCTCACCACTCGCCGCCTCTTCCGCATCTGCCTGTTCTGATTACTCCCCCTTCTCTCTCCCTCCTCCTCCTCCTCCCTCGTCGTCTTTCTTCTCCCTCCTCCTCCTCCTCCTCCTCCTCCTCCTCCTCATCTTCTTCATCATTCTCCCGGTCCTCCTCCTGCGGATGGTAGGACGGAGGGGAGAGGGAGCCGCTGGATCCTCCTACATCGGCGGCCGATCATCGGCAGCGCAGGCCAGTCGCAATTGCTGCTGGAGGCGGCGGCGTGTCATCTCGCAATTCTCCGTATCATCTCCCTTCCCCCCCCTCATCGCCCTCCAAATTACCATCCTCCTCGTCATCTTCGTTGTCCTCCTCGGCGCCCTGGAAGGCGTCCGGAGGGGAGGTCGTGGCCACGGTCGCTGTTGGATCCTGGAGCATAATCGGCGCAAGCCAGGCACGCTGCCATGGGCGGTGGCAACGAGTAATCGACCCAAGGCAAAACCATGACCACACCTCATCCTGGGGGAGGGGGTAAGGAGAAGAGGGAAGTCGTGGTCACGGCAAGTGTTGGGTCCTGGATCACTGGCGGCACAGGTAAGCCAGGCGCATTGTTGTTGGAGCTGGCGACGGAGAGGATGACGTCCATGGCTTTCTTCTGCGTGGTGGTGCTGGTGTCCTGCGCGCGCGAGCACGCGAGGCCGTAGCGCCGGTGGCAGCCGGAAGCACACCGCGTCGCGCACGTGCGGCCCCCGCGCACGCCACGTAAGGCGAATGCCTGGCAGCGTGCGGTGTGAATTTGGGGGGGTCCCAAAAAACCGTGCGGTGTGACGGACCAGAGTCCCGAAACCGTGCGGTCACCCCGAATGAACTGACTCACCACACGGTGTGGTCACCGCACCGCTTGGGGGTCCTCGAGGAACGATGAACACCCCACCCCTCGCTGGAGGTGTCCCAGGGTGCCCCATGTCCAGATAAGATTCCATGGTGGCCACTCCATAGCCCGGGTGCGCGGGAGGTGACATATTTCTGAGATCGGGGGTAGGCCAGTTGAGAGACGTCCGCGGCCATCCTGAGAGAATGGGGGAGCGAGGGGATGGAGGAGGAGGAGGAGGAGGAGGAGGAGGAGGAGAAGGCTAAGTTTTCGACCATCGACACCGTGTTTATCCATCCACCCTCGGCGGCCTTCGGCGGTCTTCTGTCGCTCTTCGGCGGTCCTCGGTGGTATTCGGCGGTTTCTGGCGGTCTGCTGAAGGTCTTCGGGAGTTGTCCGTGGTCCTCGGCGGTTTCTGGCGGTCTTCGGCGCGCGAAAACTGGATGGCTGCCTTCGACACGGGGTCCATGAGGAGGAGGAGGAGGAGGACCAGGAGGAGGAGGAGGAGGAAGAGGAGGAGGAGGAGGAGAAGGAGGAGGAGGAGGAGGAGGAGGAGGAGGAGCGAGGAGGAGGAGGAGCGAGGAGCGAGGAGCGAGGAGCGAGGAGTGAGGAGCAGGAGGAGGAGGAGGAGGAGGAGGACGAGGAGGATGAGGAGGAGGAGCGAGGAGTGAGGAGCGAGAAGCGACGAGCGAGGAGGAGGAGGAGGAGGAGGAGGAGGAGGAGGAGGCGGAGGCGGCGAGGTGGAGAGGGGCCGCGAAGTCTCACCTGCCCCTCTTCTGTCTGGGTGGTGATCCAGCGTCTGACCTCTTTCGAGCCTCCGCAGGCAGGCGCCGCCGAAATACCACGGCGAGGCCGTCGGCCGAAGGGGCAAAGGAGCAGCCATTAGGCTGAGGCGCTTCGGGGGCGGGCAACGGAACGAGCCTGGAAGTAACCACGATAAGTACTCCTCCTCCTCCTCCTCCTCACCACCACCAACAGCAGCAACAGCAACAGCAGCATCACCATCAACATAATGGTCACGGTAACCATCAGCATCGTCATATTCATCTGAATCATCCTCCAAATCATCGTCTACATCATCTTCACCATCATCATCATCATCATCATCACCATCATCATCATCATCATCAGCATCAGCATCAGCATCAGCATCAGCATCAGCATCAGCATCATCATCATCATCATCATCATCATCATCATCATCATCATCATCATATCAGTATCATCATCAGCAGCATCATCATCGTCGTCATCATCATTGTCAGCAGCATCATCATCAGCAGCATAGTTACCACCATCATCATCAACGTCAGCATCAGCATCGTCATCATCCTCCTCCTCATCATCATCGTCATCAGCAGCAGCAGCATCATCATCACCAGCATAATCGTCATCATTATCAACATCATACTCACCATCAGCATCCTCTTCCTCATCCTCATCCTCATCCTCATCCTCCTCATCATTATCATCACCACCACCATCATCGTCATCATAATCACCATCATCATCACCATCAGCATCAACACCATCATCAGCATCATCATCAGCAACATTATCATTTCAATTATCGTCATCGTCAGTATCATCATCATCAGCATCAACATCAACATCAACATCAAAATCATCATCACCACCACCATCATCACCATCATCATGGTCATCAACATCAGCATCAGCATCATCATCATCATCATCATCACCACCATCATCAGCATCATCAGCATCATCAGTATCAGCATCATCATCCCTCCTCCTCGTCCTCTCCCCTTTGCCCCCGGACGTGCCCTTGCGGCCGTGATCTAGACGAGGGGCAGCAGCACGAGGACGAGGAGAGCACAGAAGGCGCCCGCGGTCGGGAGATGTCGCTCAGCGTGGCGCGGAGGGCGGCCCAGGCGGCACGCTATGTGCGCCATGCCCTGCCAGCGGATAGCGTGTCGCTCCGCTCCGCGGGGCGGCCGGCTGGGAAAGGCTCGGGACGTTGACGCCAGAGGGGCTGGGACGTGGCTAGCGTGTCGCGCCGAAGCGTGGTGCGCCAGCATCGGCGGCGCGACACGCCAAACGCAAGTTCCTGACTGCATACGCCGCCACCGCGCCCTGCCAGGGCCAGGCATGGGCGGTGGCGGTGCGCAACACATGGGGAAGCCAAGAGGTACCGGTGCCGCTGCTCCCCGGACCTCTCCCCGGGTGCGCTCTGACCACAGCTCCGAAAAAAAAGAACTCGGCCGTGGCGACGAGGGCCTTCCAGGAGGCCCCCCAGAAGGAAAAAACTGAGCAACGTCAGCGGTATCGGTGCCTTCTCCGTCCCTGGAAACAGCGGCCAATTGTCAACGCTCCTCGTTCTGCTCCCTCGTCGTCCGCCCAGCGCCGGTGGGCGCTGAGTGCGATGGAGGCCTATGCCCCTCCAGGCGGGCCGGTGGCCGTGGCCGTGCGCCAGTCGCCGTTCCGCCTCACTCTTTTTGTTTTTTGTTGTTTCTCTCTCTCTCTCTCTTTTATGTTATCTCATGTTATCTCTCATTATCTGTCTATCTCATTATCCGGCCGCAGCCCCCGTGCCAAACCACACCAGCCAGCGCGGGGTAGCAACACCAGAATATTAGGAGGAAGCAGAAGAAGAGAGGAGGGGGCTCGCTGTGGCAGGCTCGGCGCACAGGCTGTATTTGTTGCTCTCTCTCTCTCTCTTTCTCTTTCTCTCTCTCTCTCTCTCTCTTCACCTGGACACTTCCCGCGTGTGACCTGCACTAGGACCCCCGCTTGCGTAGCAGTCTCGCCGAGTCATTGCGAGAGCGACAGCGAGGTAACTTCGCGCAGCGCGTCCCGAAGTACGCCAAGTGTGGTTAACTTCCCCCCCCTCACACCCCCACGCGCTCTCGCGTCGCAGCATGGAGCTGATCAGCTCTCCTGCCCAGACCGCGACGCGCGAAGCGCGATCAGCTTCGCGCCCCCGCAGTCAACGCGATCCAGTCAACATGCTGCTCGATCCGGCTGACCTACAGGACACCGTGCTGCCATAAGGAGCACTGTCTCAGGAACGGAGGGATTTTGTTTGTGGCCGCTGCGCGCATCGGCCACGATGCCACAGGGCTGCACGATGCCCGAGCTTCCCTGGGCGTTGCAGTTCAGCCAGCCAGCCCCCTGTCGCCGCTGCCGCAGCTGCTGCCTCTGTGAGCTGGCCCGGCCGGCTCGCGCTGCGCCCAGCAGCTAACTAGGTTTGCCCGTCGGCCCGGACAATTTCTCTCGCCGCCTGCGCGTTCGCTGGTGGCTGCGACCCCCCCCCCCCAAAAAAAACGCACCGGCCACGATGAGGCTCCGCGGCCAGGATCTGAGTGGCCCGGAAACCGGAGCCCCTCCTGAGCCCGAAAGGGCCCCTGCTCCGGCGTATCCTGGCGTCGTCGCGCACACGGGGGCGGCGCCAGGGGGGGGGGGCCTCCTACGAAGGCGGGGGGCTTCTTAGCAGGCAGGGGCCTGCTTAAAAAAGCGCCTGGAGGTCTGCAGGAAGCCTCGTCGGAAGCCTCTGGGGCCTTCTGAGAAGACCCTGCCCCCTAAGAAACCACCCTGCCTTCTCAGATCGCCCTTCCCCCCATCGCGCCGGCGCGCCGCCAAGTTGAGGCGGCCAGGGGGGGTCCTGCGCTGGATAGGCCTCGAAGAAGTCTGTCAAGAGGCGGGGATGAGGGCAAGTCTGCTCAAAACCGGTCCTGGGTCCATCTGGGTCAGCTTCCACTCCAGGTCGATTCCTGGCGGCCCCGGGGCTCGAACACGAACCCCGCACGCGAAAACCAAGCGCTGGGCCACCTCAGTCCTCCAGCAGGCTCCAAATTACTCTGAAAAGTCTTCAGAACCCCCCCAACAGGAGCACCTAACTATTTCATCGGCGACCTTCGTGAAGGACTGGGGTCCTACCAATAGGGGGTAGCTTCTCCTCCTCCTCCTCCTCCTCCTCCTCCTCCTCCTCCTCCTCCTCCTCAGGAATGACACGAAGAGAGGGAGGGCGGAGGAGGAGGACGAGGAGGAGGAGATTTTAGGACCAGTCCTTCCACCGCCGAGAGAAAAGAGGGGGACCACAACTAAAGACCTTCAGCGGTTAGAGAGAAATGGTTTGCAGCGCCCTCCGCCCACCCCCAAGCCCAGCCGCGGTCCTGCAGGCGGGCGAGAAGCGGCGGCAGCAGGGGCTCCAGGAAGGCCTGCCGGCCCGCCGGCGCGGCCCCAGATGGGGGGTTTGGGGGGAAGAAAGGGGGGGGGCGAGAGGGAGGGGGAGGGCAAGGGGGACAAGAGGGGGAGGGAACGGAGGCGAGGCGAGGGAGGAGGGGGTGGGAGGGAAGAAAGGAGGGGAAGGCAGGGCATGAGAGGAGGGGGGGAGGAGCCGCCAGCGGCAGGTCAAACGACGAAAAAGTTGTGCAGAGTGTGCTGCGTGGCGCCTGCAAGGGCAGCGGGGCACACACACACACACATACACATACATACACACACACACCGCGGTGGCCCGCCGCGGGCCACCAGCAAAGCTGCGCCGCGACGCCCCGCACGCGGGGGAGGAGGGGAGTGCAAGGGAAGGAAGGACAGGCAGGGGGGAGGAGGAAGAGGAGGGGGAGGAGGAGAGGGAGGAGGGGGGGGAGGGGGAGGAAGAGAAGGAACGGGAGGAGAGGGAGGGAGGGATGGAAGGGGAGGGCGGGGGCGGACTCGGGCAGACGATCGGCTGCTGCCAGAGGAAGAAAGCACGTTGTAAACAGAAACGCTTGGCGCTCCGCGCGGATTTCGTGGATCTGCGCTGGACCCACCTTCCTGGCGCACGGAGCGTGCCAGGAGCGGCGCCGCAGGCGCCGCCGGGGGGGGCCCAGAGCGGATCCAAGAAATCCGCGCGAAGCGCCAAAAATTTATGTTTATGGCGTTTTGTTTCTTCTTCGAAGGCGGGAAACGGGGGCGGACTCCGGCAAACGATCGGCTGTTTCGCCTAGGCCCTCACCCGAGAGAGGGTCGCCTCTTTCGCGGGCTCTGTGAAGCCGCAGAGACACTCCGACGGCGCCCTGCCCGTCTGAGTGACAACGCCCTGGCGGGGCCGCAGATATTAAGGTGTCGGGTTGCGCACAGACAGCCCCCTGGCGCCGGCGGCGCCCCTGGGGTGCTCCGCGCCCGAGGGTTGAAGTGTTGAGACCGCCTCTTGCCACTCGGGGGGCATGCTGAAGCCAGCTGGGGCCACTCTGGGGCCTGTTGAGGCCAGCCGCCAGCCAGTGCTACCTTGGGGGGGACTGCCGATGCGAGGGCAGGACGAGAAGGAAGTCATGATACAGAGTATCTAGCGGCCCTCGTCTCTGCAACCCGTGTGGAACATCCGGAAAGCTGGGAAATCCTGAATGGAAATCTGTTTTTTTCGGGGGGAATCTTGAAGCGCGTCATTTGCATTTCCTCAGGGACCTCTAAGAGATGAGGAGGAGGATAGGATAGGATAGGATAGGATAGGATAGGACTCGGCATTGCGCGTGTGCTGGGGGCGACGCAGCTATACACGTGGTATGCAGCTCGTGTATACTACAACCTCGAACGATCGCATATCTACTATACGAGGTTACGGGTTACGCGCGCCTTGCAGCACTCGACACGTGTGTATCGGGG